AGACAGAAAGACACAACTCAATGCAATAAGCCAAGCAGTTTAAGTAAAGTGGCTCTGTTTTGATACAGGAACACTAACACAGAAACATTTTCGGGCAAGAGGGAAGCGCGGTGAGGACGCACTGAGTTCCCAGCTGTCGAGAAGTCCCTCTCGCTGCTTGCTGAGGTGGCAGGGACGGCGAGGTACCGGCGGGCCAGCTGTGCCAGGGTGGGATAGAGCTTCTCGTGGTTCTTCCACCAGGCCAAGGGGCAGTGGCCGTGGCCGATTTGAGGCTCCGCCAGGTACTCGTCGAACTCCGCCTGCCACGTTCTTGGGCTCGCGGCCTCGGCTTCCCCGCCGAACAAGAAGTCCAGGGCGTCGCTCGGGTCGGACATGTCTCTCGCTGTGTCGTCCTGGTTGACGTCCATGGCCACTGCTGCCGCCACCTGCAGCTTTAGCTTGAGGAACTCGCGGACCTTGTCCGCCTCGGCCGCAGACGGCTCAGCCCGGAGCTTCTTGTAGCGCGGGTCGAGGAGGGAGGCGAGCTGCTGGACCAGTACAGGGCTCTCTGGCGACGCATCCATCTGGAAGCGCTGCCTGAGGAGGCGGCTCACCTCCACCTTGAAGGCACGCACACGCTCCTCGGAGGGGTCCAGGTCGTCGTCGTCCTCTTTGTAGTGCACGTCGAGAAGGGAGCGCACGATTGGCCTCACCGCCGAGATGGTCACTTTGTCGTCCGCGCAGAGGACGGTGGTGGCGACCTGCAGAGGCTTGAGGACCGGCAGCATCGCCTCCAGCTCCCCCCACTCCTCCGCCGTCATCTGCAGCGCCCTGGACTGCTTGGCCGTGGTCACGGCCCGGTCGCCCAGCACGGCGCGGACGGGGTTGCGAGACTCCACCAAGCTCTTGCACATAAAGTACGTGGAGTCCCAGCGCGTCGCGCAGGACTGCACCAGCTTGGCCTCCTTCATGCCGGCCGCCGACTGCGCCCTCTCGAGCGCCATGGTGGCCTTCGTCGAGTGGTGGAAGTGCGCCACCACACGCTTGGCCTTCTTGCAGGCGGCCTTGAAGGTCGGGTTGGTCTTCAGGGCGTCGTTGACACACAGCTGCAGGGAGTGGGCGGCGCACGACACGTTAAACTCAACAAAGTCTACCTGGTTGACGGCATTCACGATGTTGATCGCGTTGTCGCGCGTGATACTGGTGGTCCGGCCCTCCAGGTCCCAGGAGTGGCACATATCAATGAGCGCCAACGCCAAGTTGTCCCCCGAGTGGCTAACATCCATGCCCTCCGTGCACAAGGTGAACCGACACAGCCGCCACGCCTTGGTGATGGCCTGCGCCGTGAGGGACATGTATGAGTCCAGGGCGCGCGACGTCCAGCAGTCCGTGGTGAGGGACACAGCCTCCAGCAGCCCCATGGCCCCCCCCAC